TGACTCTGGAGGTTTCCAATAGCAAGTGATACTTAAAAAGAAGGAAAAAACCCCAGGTTGCCAAGAGGAGCCGTGGCTGCCCCATCCCCGAAAGTGCCCAAGGCCAGGTTGGATGGGGCTTGGAGCAACCTGGGATAGTGGAAGGTGTCCCTCTCTGAGGTGTTAGAACTAGGTGATGTTTAATGTTCCTTCCAACCCAAACCTTTCTGGGATTCTATGATCCAAAATGCTTCACTTTTTCCCCCCTCATTCCCAGCTTTCACTTTAGAAACAATTAACCTGCCCGAGTTCATCACCTCCTGCACCTGCAGCATCAACCACCATGCCCTGCACCCATCAAACAGTGAAAAACCCCCACAATCCTGAGGCAAAACCACAGAATATATCCCATTAAAAACCATCAGGGTAGATCCACACACTGGTGGCAGCTCTGTCTAATTTCCAGGCCATAAATCCCCCCAACAAAACCTGCTCAAGAGCTCTGAAAAATGAGGGACGTACGGGGTTGATGCCTGGCGTCGGAGAGCTGAAGAATTAACCTCCCATGGTAAATCCTCGTCATCCGCAGCCCCTTCCAGGTAATAACCTGCTGTCCTTGGGTCAAACTACTCTCAAGTGGGAGCCTGGAGCTCTCCCTCCCCCTCAACCAGCAAGGAAAGGCTGATCCCCCATAAACGGATCCGAGCCGATATCACCCGGATTCCCGGTTCCCGAGCCCACCCTTTGAAGATGGGAGTTATTTAACATTCCCCTGGTTTAAAATATGAGCAATCAAAAGGCGCTGGGCTTCCACGCTGTGCTCTCCCATTTCCCACTCCTTCTCTTGCCTGACAAGGTATTCTTCAAATTGAAAAGAGGGCTCCTGAAAGCCCGGGCTTCGGGAAACTGTAAATGAGTTCAGGCTTCAGCCCGCTGAATGCAATTTCATCCTCCTGACTGAATACAAATAATGCATTTTATTTGGTATCAATTACCACGCCTGAGAACAGACGACCACTGCTGGCACTGTTAAATATATAATGAAATAAAATAAAATAAAAAATAAAAAAAAAAAAAAAGAAGGGGAAGAAAAAGGCAAGGAAAAAGGCATGGCAAATTAAAAAAGCAAGCGCCTCATTACTCCCCATCTCAAGCAGCTTTGACAGAGGCACTGGAACTCATAAGCCGTGTTCCACTGGGCTGGGATGGGCTGTTTTGCAGCCATCCCGCACGTTCAATGTCAGCCATTAGTTCTTCCCAATCGGGCATCAATGTTCAACACACACCCGAAAAAATATATAATACTGGTAATAATAATAACAATCTGCAGCCTCTCCGAGCTTCAATACTTGAAGTATGAGTCAAAGCAGCAGTTTCACTTTTCACTCGGGAAGCTGACAAGCATGACTAGAGGGGGAATAAAATAACATTCAGTTCGCATAAATATCAAGCGGGCTGCTTGAGACTGATGGGCCAGGAATGTATTCTTAGCCATCATTCTGGCAGACAGGCCCAAGGACACTCATAACTTATTTTACAATCATTTAGTTTCAGCTCAAGTGGAAAACGTGACAACTTATCTCTGCTGACAAGATGCCATATCGAACCTTACAATTAACTCTCCCCCGATTATCTGCCCAGCCCATCATTAGCTCTGTGGCGCTTGATGGACTGTACGGGCGCAGCTTCCCTTGATGATGGTCATCATTTGCAGGGTGCAGAGCTCCATTACACGACACTGAGGACAAAACTCTCCCCTTGCCACCTAGCTGGGGTTGTCCTGACCGGCACGGCCTCGTTTTTGCAGCTGTTTTGAAGAGTGATGTGCAGCAAAACGCTGCTGGAAAATGTCTTCTCCCCTAAAGCGGAGCATCCTCGTGTTTCAGCCCACGCCTGCTGCTGCCTGTGACCTCCAGGAGTGAGCCAGAGATGCCCAACCTCTGTCCCAGCAGCCAGGAGCTTTCCTCCCTGTCCTCCATCCCTCCCCAGTGCCACTATTAAATACTCCTTCAGCAGGAGGGCAGAGCCGACACAGCCACACCGCAGAATCAGTCGGCTTGGAAGGGACCTTAAACCCCAACTCCTGCCATGGGACACCTTCCCCTATCCCAGGTTGCTCCAAGCCCTGTCCAGCCCAGCCTTGGACACTCCCAGGGTCGTGGCAGCCCTCAGGATGTGCAGCATCTCCAGACCCAAAAGCACCAAGTGACACTTGGTGACCAAACACCCCTCAAGTTATGAAGAGGTGGGACATAAAGCCCCACTCCTCTTCACAAGGTGATTTTTCTCTACAGGTGCAGGACATGTGGATTAAGACAGATTGTTCTGCTTGTGCAAGTCCAACCTTCATTTGCGAGAATTTACCAAACAAAACAAAAAAGCCAACGCAGCTTTTACTTCGCAAAGAAAGTGCCATGTCTGCTTCTCTCCAAGATCCACTTTGTAATTATGGTCATGAGAGAAATTCCTTTCAAGTATGACAAACTGTGGCAGAAGAAAGGAGGGGTGGAACAGAAGAAACACTCTGTGGAAAAGAAGAAACACTTTGTCTACAACTACAACCCAGAGTCAAGAGACAGAACATTAAATGAAAACCAATCCTCAGAAGAGTCTCAAGAGCTGTGCTGTTGTACTGGGCTTTATTTGCTGTTTGAAACAATCTGATATCCTCACTATTACACATATATTGTAAAAGGTAACTTTCCATCCAATTCTCACGTCCTATCTTTTTTAGTATTTAGTTATTTGGAAGCTGCATGAGCTCAACATATGGATCTCAAAGACAACTCCATTTGTGCCCCCTAATGACTTTGTGAGTGTCCTCCTGGATTTGAAAAGGGTGGAAAATTAACAGAATCACCACTGAATCGCAGGACTGGAAGTGACCCAATAGATCATCCCATCCCACCCCCTGCCATAGGCTATTCCACATCCAACCTGGCCTTGGGCACTTCCAGGGATCCAGGGGCAGCCACAGCTTCTCTGGGAACCCTGTGCCAGGGCCTCTGCACCTTCACAGGGAGGAATTCTTTCCCAATATCCCATCTATCCCTGCCCTCTGGCAGTGGGAAGCCATTCCCTGTGTCCTGTCCCTCCATGCCTTGTCCCAAGTCCCTCTTCAGCTCTCCTGGAGCCCCTTTAGGTCTCACCGGAGGCCTTCTCTTCTCCAAATGAACACCCCCAACTCTGAACTGTCTGAAACTCAATCCAAACCCAGACTGTGCTTCTTGGTGCTCCTTGACCAGAAAAACAACAACCTTGCATCCCGAATTCCCGAGCCCCCGCACCAAACCCGTCCGAGATGCGACTCCTCCAGCACTGCAGCACCTGGCACTGCAGAGGTGCAGGAGATGCCAGCACAGGAA